AAGATTAACCCAATAACTTTGTTTTGGTAAGCCTTTTTCTGCAAGTCTGAAAAAAATGAGCGTGTCTGATTTCGCTCCCTTGGCAAAGGGATCTCATTATAATATCACCGCCCCTTAATCTGTACGTTTCCACCCAATGCGTCATCATTTTGATTTCACAAGAGACAACAGTGTACCAGTTCTAATGCCATGGCAAATGTTTGAGCAAAACATGCTAACTGTTCTGTCTTTGTTGAGCTGGAACTTCACAAGACACCTATATTACATATTGTAAAAAGGGGCATAATATGTCTCCTTTAAATTTAAACCCAGCTGCAAAATATTTGCTTCTGATCTTTATTTATTATTGTCATCACTTCAAAAAGTCTCATCTATTAAAAAAAAGCTCTGAAGACATCTTGTATTATAGAATGTTTTTAAGTAAATTGTAATTAGAATTTTTCCCCCTCTCTTCTGTATTTCCCCATGTGTTCTATGTTCTTTTTCTGTATTCTGTTTCTTCTGTATTGAACTATATTTCTGCAATAATAATAATAATAATAAACTTCCACAGGGGCTACACACAGCAATATAAACAACAGCTGTGCACGTTCTCTTTATGTCGTTCTTGTAAAATAATAATAATTTAATAAAAGTATACAAGCACACCGCTGTGCTGAGAACTCCACTTACTGTGGATGTTATTGAAGGTATCCTGGTAGTGCACTAAATTAAGGTGTCTGAAAGTAAGGGATGAGATCGTCAGGTGAAAGGTCATTATGTGGATTATTTTATTTACGGCTAACTTATTATTCATTCATTTTACTAATAGTTAGACTGGGCAGGCCTTCATAAAAGGTCGTTTAATTACAAAAAATACAATTTAAATAAAATAATTGCCTTGACAAAAGGGCACTTTGGGCATCAAGGGGAAAAGGGGCAGCTCAAGCACCCACCGTGACTACTAATAAAATTATTCAAACTTTATGTTTTTAATTTTAATAGTAAAAAAAAATCATAGGGCTCTGTCAATGTAATAAATTGTTTTTATGCATTCAAATAATTAGACATGCTTAAACACAGAATTTCATAACAATAATAAAAAAAAGAGAAAATATAAAACTAATATTTCATAGGGCCCTAAAAATGTCATTTTTGAAAATGTTTTAATAAATTGATGTTAAATTGTATGTTTCATGATTTTAATTAGACATGCTTTTTGATTAATAAAAATTAATTTAACCATTAAAAAGGAGTGCAGAAATAATAAACAAACAAATATATAATGAGAGAAAAAATAAATGGATTTCACAGGGCCCTACTCATTTAGTATATCATTAGAACATGAACATACAAATAGTCTCCACCTCCACTCAACCACACCAGCTTCAAACCATGTTTTTGAGAATGTCTTTGGTAGACCGCAGTTTTAAGCAGAAGGTTACCAGGCAGTGTGACTTTAGAGTGTATCTGTGTAACAGTGTATGTGATTCTTTGTTCCCCTCCCTAATCTTGAATATTGGCTTGCATCATGGCCTATAACTTACACATACATAAAAATCTGAAAAAAAGAGTTTGTTCTAATCAAGGTTGGTTGTTTTAGGTTTACTTTATATTAAAGTTGTAAAAATAGTTCAAATGAATCTTTTAAATAAATTAATCATATATTAGTCACATTTAAAAATAATCATATCAGGCAAACTCTCTCTTTTAATCCAAAATAAGTGTTATTTAAAAAAAAATTTGATAATATAAATTATTATTTTAGATAAAAACAATCTTATGTTCTGATAATTCTGTTCAAATGTTTATATAGTTTTAATGACAATGAGACAGTGTTATCAGGTTTTCTTTTCTCCATGAACAGGCTTTATTTCCATTCTCTCAAATTGCTCAATGAATGGATGTGGTTCAAGCTTGAAGTGTTGTTTTGAGGTTTTGACTCAAAACCGGTTTCCTATCATCTCAGTGAGCCACCTAGAGCCTTCTGTACACCAACATGGTCAGAAATGGGGAGTATACTGATCACTCTCTCAATGCCTTAATTTTTTTTTCAGAGATTGCACAATAAATAATTGTGGAATAAATTTGGCACATTTTGCAATTATGATATGTTGAATGTATAATGTTGTTTAGTTTTAAGAGATTGGTAGTTTCTTTTCTTCTCTTTGTGTTCCTCTTTCTTTTAATTCAACAGCATGCTTACACTGCAAGATGTAATGGTATGTTGGTCTCAATAACCATTCATGGTCTTAAAATATTCCTTTTCCCTGGTAGTTTTAGTAAGGGTTTTATAGTTAATGATGGTATTATGGCAATCATAATGTTTGGATTAGATTAACAAAAGTGCCTAAGTAAAAGAGAGGTTTGTTGTCTGAGTGAACAATAACAATCTCTGTTTTGCATGCCAGATCCTTGTCTTGCTTTGGACCCACCCAGAACTACAGGTGAGATCAGATAAATGAGGCTGTGCAGTATTCTTTCAAAGCCAATTTATGAGTAGCCTGAGTCTCTTGTTAAATAACTTTTTTTTTTAAGTGTTTTGTTAAGTTGAAATACTTACATTCTTACTGCTTCAGGAAACCCAGTCTGAGTCATTGTAAGACAACATTGATTATGCGGTTAGGTTTAATACTCGTGGTGAGAGATTTATATGATTTCACTCTGTATAATTATTTAATTAGTCTGTATTCAAATACCTGTAGTTTTTGCTTGACACATAGGGGCATTGTTTGTTGAATTTGAGAGCAGTTTTTTGAATAATTAAGAGATGACAGTGGTTTTGTGAGTTGTTTTATATGCTTCAGATAGTTTAAGTTGTTTAACAGGATCTGAAAAGTAGTTTTTTTGTGTTTGCACAGGTGCGAGTGGAATGAGGGGAAAGCAGTGCTTAAAAATCTCAATAGTAATGACAATAACATGCTATACTGTTGTTTAGGCCAGTTTGAATAGCGAAATAAGTTTTAGCACCACCAGCTAACATTTATTTTACAATGTTACTGTTTTTGTTATTGATTTTTGCAATAAATAAATGTATGTGAAGTTTTACTTTTTACCTGCTTTTGCTTGCTTAGAGTTGTAAGTTTTATGTTTAGTCTAAACCCTTGTTTCTATCTCTTTAGCCCCATACAATGACACCACTGAAGAAACTGGTAGAAATCATGGCATTATTTATATCATTGGTGTCATCATCGTCTTCATTATCACTGTGACTGTCATCTGTCTCCAAAGAACGTGCCAATCTTAAAATCTTACTTTTAGGTAAAGAAAAAATGGTTTTATCAATGCAGAGAAGTAAAATTATCTTAGATAAGCCAGATTGTATGTACTCTGTTGGTTGATGCAAGTCAGTGGTTCCCAAACTTTTTCTGCCGGGCCCCCCTTTTATACAGTAAAATATTTTCAGGCCCCCCTCCCTTTTTATTTTTTAGAAAGTCTCTTATGCTCACCAAGGCTGCATTTATTTATTTAATATACACTGTAAATTATTTGACCGTAAATTCACAGTAAATTACTGGCTACTAGTTGCATTACTTTCACAGTAAATTACTGTATGTAAATTTACAGTAAATTACTGGGAAGGAGCTACATTACTTTCACAGTAACTTACTGTGTAAGATTCCATCGTATTACTGTGATTTAGCAGTATTCTCCCGCAGAATTACTGTATTTATCTGTGAAGTTACAGTTGATGTATATCAGATTACTGTGATTTAGCAGTATGCTCCTGTAGAACTACTGTATTTATCTGTGAAGTTACAGTTGATGTATATCAGATTACTGTGATTTAGCAGTATGCTCCTGTAGAACTACTGTATTTATCTGTGAAGTTACAGTTGATGTATATCAGATTACTGTGATTTAGCAGTATGCTCCTGTAGAACTACTGTATTTATCTGTGAAGTTACAGTTGATGTATATCAGATTACTGTGATTTAGCAGTATGCTCCTGTAGAACTACTGTATTTATCTGTAAACTTACAGTTAATGTAATCAGATTACTGCAACTTAACAGTATTCTGCTGTAATGCAAATTACTTGCCAGTAATGTGCTATTAATGTACACTTAAAACCTATTTTAAAATACTGTAAATTTGACATTTTCATGTGTTAACCCATTAATAACCTATAACATGTTAAATTCAAATAAACACAATAAACTGTTGTGAACATTTATTCTTACACATTTATTTTACTTCTCTCCATTGAACGAAGAGACACTATAAGAACATATTTAATGACTAACTTACTGCATAACTGCATGCAACTTAACACCGAGCCAGTGTTTGGTTGGTCTGTTCTGGCGAAACACTGCTTTCATTCTAGACTGTCATCCATTCAAAATCAACAAGTTTTCTGATTAGTGTGCAGACTTGTTGGTTGATGTGACCTCTCTGCCTCTTTGACTTCATGCCTGTCTCTGGATTTATTCCCAAGAAGCACCTATAAACAAAAAGGCAGAGGAAAGCTGTTAGTTTCATTCAAGTGGGATGAAAAAGGTGTCATTAACCAGTCACCACCTTTAGTAGATCACAGCTGTTGCACTACAGAGCAAAACTTAAGTTAGCTCAGTTTGAACAAGGTGACATTACTGTGGTTCTATGGTTAAATGTTAAAAGGGTGACAAAATGATTACAGATATTTAAAAAAAATGCATTTCTTACCAGTTAAAATTCTAAATAAACATGTTAGCTTTGTATTTATTACTAGTAGATAATATAATATAATTTTTGATATCAATAATTACTTTGTTACTAGTAAAAATTTGAATTCCTGATATCAAGAATTCAATTGTTACTAGTTGAAATGTTAATTCTTGATATCTTTAAATATATTTCAACATGTTACATTTGTTATTTCTGATATCTAAAAATGTATTTCTAATTAGAGTAATTTTTTATATCTAAAATGGCTTTCTTACTAGTATCAATCACATTCATGATATCATAAATTAACATTGTCACTAATGACAATCAAATTATTGATATCAAAAATAATTTTTACTAGAAACAATTCAATGGTTGATATTAAGAATAGCCATTTGCACTAGTAACCACGTGATTACTGATATAAAAAAATAAAGGTTTTTACTAGTAATAATTGTATTTCTGATATGTGAAATTGGAATTTCAACTAGTAAAATCAATTCTTGATATCAACAATTGAATTTGAATGGCAGCCTATGGTGACCTTTAACTAGTGAAAATACAATTACAGATATCAAGAATGATAGTTTTTACTAGTTTAAATTTAATTTCTGATATCAAGAATTAGCATTTTAACTAGTGAAAATCGAATTGTTGATATCAAGAATTCATATCCTGTGAACGAATAAAAGTCAAAACGGCTTGCCATAGTGGTTCAGTTACACTGCAACCATTTAGATAACAGCAACTGAAAAACATTTCCATCACAAACCCAGTCAAGAGAAATCCTGCAACAAAGAAGAGGTGTGTGATTTACCCAGGCAGAGCATTTGCACACAATTTATATCATTTACATATACTGTTTGCAGAGGATGGAGTAAGAGCTCCGCCCTTTTAAAAACAGCTTCCTCTCTGGTCTCCAGCACAGACACAATAGTTGAGTCTACAACACATCACTTGTCTGAGGGGGAGATGGGGGTCTTCACCGTTTGGCTGCTGCAGTCCTGTGCGGCTTGTAAAAACACAGCACATCCAAACATTCCTTGTTTAACCCACCAAATAAAAAAAAGCCCTCAAATACAATATTAATGTAGACATTACCTTTGGATAAATTCCAGAGTGCAAGAAGCATTGTCAAAAATGGCAGACCAGTTGTAAAGTCAGGGTGAGGCCCCATGACCACTTGACCCTCCAAAGACAGCATCCATGTCCTCGGCTTCATTGTGTCACCTGAAACAAAACCATATATAGTCATCATGCCCTAGTGTTCAGAAAAGGAATCAATAATATATATATATATATTTTTTTAAGAAATTAGAGTGAAAAGAGTAGTATGGCAGCATATTCTATCTACTGGGTCTTACATGAATAATAAAAAATAAAAAAATTGCAATAATTCTAATTGTTAGAAAGAAAATAGTTCCTACATGAAACTGCTCACAACAAATCTGTGGACAACTTGACACTTGAAAATACATAAAAAATGAGGAAGACATCAACATTACCTTGGACAATCAAGCGAGGGGTGCTTGCGTCACAGTCCCTTCAACGTCCCTTCAACGTCAGCGCCTGTGGCACAAGGCTGCAAAAATAATAAATCAATAGAATAAGAGTAGAATAAGACTCAACTGTTAAAGGGATAGTTCACCCAAAAATGAAAATTAGCACATAATTTACTCACCCTCAAGGCAACCTAGGTGTATCTGGCATTCTCTTTCAGACAAACACAATTTCGCAGTTATATTTAAAATTTTTAAACTGTCCTGGCTCTTCCAAGCTGTATAATGGCAGTGAAAGGTGCCCCTGTTTTTGAAGCCTAAAAAACTGCATCCATTCATCCATCATAAAACGACGGCTCCGGGGTGTTAATAAAGGCCTTCTGAAGTGAAACGATGCGTTAGTGTAAGAAAATTATTGATTTTTTTTTTATTTATAAACTGTAATCTCCAGCTTCCGGTCGCTCAAGCAGGCGCGTTCACGGCAAGGCGTTCAAGCATATAATGTTGGCGTAGTGGAAGGTACAACGTAAGATCCGGGGAGAGAGTGACGAATGCAGAAGCCCAGAGGAGAAAGCAAAACAACACCTGTCACAAACTAGTACTACAAAAACGAAGATTCTGAGTGAAAATTTCTTTTTTTTTTATGATTTCGATACAAGGCAAGAGGAGAATGAGATTTTTGCCCAGCCATATTTGTTTGAACCAGAGTAAACCGAACAGGAGCTCCACGAGATGGAGTAGGCTGCAGCGGCGGCAAAAACTACAGATGTAGTTCACGTGGTTTCTCACGAGACTACACTCTTCTCCCCGGATCTTACGTTGCGTCTTCTGCTATTCCTACATCATACACTTGAACGCCTTGTCGTGAACTGGGTGGAGCTGGAGATTACAGTTTATACATTTTTTAAATAGATATTTTTCTTACACTAACACATCGTTTCGCTTCAGAAGGCCTTTATTAACACCCCGGAGCCGTGTGGAGTAGATTTATGATAGATGGATGGATGGATGGATGCAGTTTTTTAGGCTTCAAAAACAGGGGCACCTTTCTCCGCCATTATACAGCTTGGAAGAGCCAGGACCATTTTAAATATAACTGCGATTGTGTTCGTCTGAAAGAAGAATGTCAGATACGCCTAGGATGCCCTGGGGGTGAGTAAATCATGGGCTAATTTTCATTTTTGGGTGAACTATCCCTTTAAAAATCTGCACCTATAGTAGCACAGAGTCAAAATGTGTGCAAATGCTTGATGAGGGAGCTTAAGGTGTCACATGTAACTGTACAAAACTGAGCCAAACATTTTAAGGGAGTTTCAAATTGCATGCAAGGTTGCACAGATGATCCAAGCCCTTTATGCTTTCTATACATATGAGTTTTTAATACATTTGCTGTGGAATACATACGAGAGCATTCAGGCATGCACCACAATGGTACTTATAATTGGGAGCGTTGCTATGCAGTTTTGAGTGCTGAAAAAACTCAATAAGTCTCAGACACATGCTCACACAAACTGACTTTACTATTCTGTTGAGAAAAACAAAATACGGAGCTAACAGATTTAAAACTAACAATCCTGTGATTTTGGATAATTATAGCTAGAAGACTGCCCTAATAACACCAACATATTAGGATCACACGCAAAAAAAAATTACTAAACACTACTGAACCACATAAAAAGAAATGAACGATATATACACATTAGTTAAAGATAAACATGAAAATATGGGATATATAATGTAACAGAAAAACTCAGGTTGCCAACCTTAAAATGCACGGTGTGTGTAGCTAGAAAGCTACTTCACCAACCTGTAACTAGTCACTACTGCTGTAAGGTGGCTCACGAATACAAACACCATAAAAATATAGCGATTAAAAGCCAATAATTATAAACGTATAATCTACAACTACAAATCACTGCAAGTCCTTTGGACTGTCTAGTTATAACCAACGTTAATGTAACGTTACTTGCAAAACACAGATGAGTGCAGTTTGGTCTAACAACGGGGAAACTGCCGCGCAGTACATTTGGCAGTGGAACTTTCTATTCCAGAAACAAAGACGATCAAAAGGAGTAACGTTTTTCCCCCAAACAATATTTTAATTCGAATCCTGACATGCGCGCTTCATTTTTCACTTGAGGCGACTGGCAACGGCTGCCTGCACCTCCGTATCACACACACAGCATCAGAGAAAATTGAGAAGAAGCCCAGCTAACGTTACTAATTAGAGATGAATTTACTCTATCTTTGCCCTAATCCACGACAGTATAATTTATCTGGTTGATAATATAAAATACATTTCCTATAGGTGAAGGCCACAGCTTACCTAACAACTTTATTCCCCAGTGGTCACCGCAGAAAAAATGCTGAGGAGAGAATAGCAGGGAAAGAGAGAATGCTGTTAGCTCTAAGAAAAGCTCATGTTAAAGTTAACAGATAATTACCTTTTTTTCAAATAAGGCTTCATGTCTCAGTTAGATATCAACTTAATACGGTACAATTAACACTACAACCAACCAATTAACAATAATTTATTGTTGGCGCTCAAACCTATGCAAGGATGTTAACCAAAACCTACAACTATTGTAACGCTATTTGGTTAATACTTTTAAATTACATGCACTATCATATATATATATATATATATATATATATGAAAAACAGTCATTAAATTGACAGAATTTGACATTTTAACACTTACCGCTGAATCCGTCGATGAGACCTCGGCGGAGAAGAGAGAGCTTGGACGAAAAATCGCGCGCAAATTCACAGTAGTTTCCTGCAACTGCCCCGCCTGCAGTATTTTCACAGTGAAATTCTGAATACGTTATTATACTCTGAAAATCACAGTTAAAGCCTGTGAAGTGATAATAATGTAATTTACTGCGAAATATTACAGTAACATCTTGTGAAATCCTGGAAATAATTTACAGTGCACCATAAACACTGTAATATTGTGAAATGTGTCCATTTAAAATATATATTTGAATGTTTTAACATATACTGTATTCCTGTGATCAAAGCTGAATTTATAGCATCATTACTCCATACTTCAGTGTCACATGATCCTTCAGAAATTATTCAAATATGCTGATTTGCTGCTCAGTTACCATCTCTGATTACTTTAATGCTGAAAACAGTTGTGCTGCTTCATACTTTTGAGGAAACTATTTTTTTCATGATTCTCTTATGAATATATGCACCCTCTCAGACATGACCTTGCAAAATTATATATTTTAAATATTGTGATTTACATAGTGCTACTTAACTTCCTTGCTATGTTTCTGGACTTGGGAACATTTCAGTTGCGTTGCTGTCTATGCAGGGTCAGACAGCTCTCAGATTCCATCAAAAATATCTTAATTTGTGTTCCGAAGATGAACGAAGATCTTACGGTTTGAAACGACATGAGGGAGATTAATTAATGACATAATTTTCATTTTTGGGTGAACTAACCCTTTAAAGTAGCCCAATTCCGCGGTAAAACCGCAGACTTGGCAACGCTGGTCAGAGTGCTGGAGTTGTCAGAAATAGAACGTGGCATGATGGATCTGTCTTGTCTTGTCGCGCCGCGCCGCATCCACTGGGTTCTGTTTGCGTTTGTCACGTCCCGGCGCTCGCTGGTGTAGACACGTTGTTTTGGTATTTGTGAATCTAAGTATATTCATCATCTGCTTTAGGTATTTACTGGTACTTTCAAAAACTTGTAACTTGAATGAGCAGAACCATGCATCGTTCATTTATATGTCTACATGGCTCCCTGCAATACATCTTTGAATCTTCCATCGCGCCATCTAGTGGTGTGTTATTGATACAGCCACAACTGCTACAACTGATAACGGAGCGCTCAAGCGGGTACTGTGAGTAGCCTAATGATGAGGTAAAATATGTCAAATTAATATTTTGTGTTCAATTATTTACTTATCAGGAAATGGTAAGCGGGAAAACTACGCAGGGTAGACTTTATTACCCTGCAGAGGTTTCTTTTTCAAAATAATCTGCTGAATTTACACTATCCCTCAGCCTTGCCGCGGCCCCCAGTTTGGGAACCAGTGAAATAAAGAACAGAAAGATTTCAGCTGGATAACTTGCCCCTGTTGGAAATTAGTTGAAGTGCATTGGTTTACTCTACAGCCCATGTAATAGGCCTATATTATGTCCTAATTTCTGTTATTTTGAATGTTTTCAGGTACATCTGGAAAGCAGTGCCAAAGAATGAAACCCCAACTATCTTGGTCTCTGATGCCACCTGAACAAGACTTTTAATTATGATAACACTGAATAATTTTTTTTTTTAAAAGTCTAATTTTGCTCACTCTAAATATACTGAAAAAATGTTAACCTAAAAACATCAAAGTTCACTGGTTTTATTCAAGTCAGAAATATTTAGCTGAATCAACCTTAATACATAAATTGATCAACAAAACTTAGTTTTCTGGGTCAAATCAGGTAGGAATAGCTTTTTAAGGTATCAATTGCAGGCCATCACTTTTTACAGTATAAGCATGAGTGAGAGTTTATGTAATGTAATATAGCTGTGGAAGCTTAAAATATTATTATTATTATATTGTATTAAATTATATTGCTATTTTATATGTGTTATATTATATTACATGATATTATATTGTATTATATTGCTCTTTTATATCAGTCTATATTGTTATCTATCATTGACCTATAAAATATTGAAGTATAACAGAATGTTAATACACTAGTTAACATAAAATATCTATTAGTATATCTTACCATAGACATATTGTTATATGTTGTTGTTATTATATATTATTGATTATCTATCTATCTATCTATCTACATATAATATAATAATCTGCTTATTCTGAATCTACAGGCTTTCTTAATTACTTGTTAATGTATCATCAACAGAAGCTTTTCAGCATGTTAAAAATATGACCAGATGGAAGATGAAGTTGTACATATAAGTGTGCTTCTATTGAACTCATAGTTCACAAGTGATAGGAGATCATGGTATATATTTTACATATTTACTGGTTTGACCCGTAAATACCAGTAAATTTGTTTTCTAATTTTGCCCCCCACTTATAGTGGAGTACTGTATGTAACAAAAGCACTGGTGATACGTCAAAAATACTTACATTTTTATCAAAGTTTGAGACACAACGCATACAGACAGTGGAGTATCATAGTTCTTCAAGATTCAGTATCCAATTCTGCTAATTATTTTAAACAGTTACTGCTTGACATGTGATGGACTGATTTGAATGGTTTGGGTTTACTAAGGTGCAGAGGGAAAATCATTTTGCTTTTTGGTTTGTTGTTTAGTGTTGAGATGGTTCCTAAACAATGCACTAAACAGTTTGTGTTGTTGTTTTGCCCCGATGCAACCATAGAGACTGCTGTGGTGTGGTTTGTACTGATGCTTTCTATAGCTGTTTTTCTGAAAAACACTTTCTGAAAAAAAAATACAAATCCAAAACATAAAAGTAGATGTAGGGCTTTATAAGAGCAGGAGTGAAGGAATTCAGAAACTGCACTCTCACATACATAGTGTTAATGTTCTCAAAAGTTAATTGGAACTTCAACAGAATTTCAATAGAACTCGATGTTGCAGCTTAGTCTAGAAACAAACTCAGAACCAGCGAACCCCTAATGTCGATTCCAGGAAGAGCATCGATTAACATTAAACAGGCAATGAGAAAAAAACAATTTGTGCACACAAAGACACACGCAGGAAATCGTAAGAAGAGTGCGTCATCGACAAGCGAGGATGATAAGAAGAATTGACGGCTCATGGGTAAATGACATCGACTGTATAGCCATGCTTTAAAAACTCAATACCAACTTCTCGGTGAAGTTCAAATGGTCTACACCTTGTACAGGAGAGACATTGACAGCTAAAATGAAAGTCATCTTTTTTGGTAAGTGCATTTTAAGCACGTACACCTACGTAATATTTCAGAAATGTGTCAAACAGCGTGTCATTCAAATTAGCGTCATTAGGATTTTTTTTTTTTAATATATGTAAAATCTTAAAATAATAATAAAAATAATTAGCCTATGTATTTATTGTTTACATATGCATGCACTTTGTATATTTATACTTTGTATCTCTCAAACCTGCAGTTTTATTTGTGAAGGGAATTCTTGCCAATCTAACATGCACTGTGTCAGTGTACCAGAATCAGTCCATTGCTTATATCATCTCTGGTCCTCCGACTGCACCTGGCTGCTTACCCGAATGGACCGCTGCTGTAAGCACAACCCGTTTGTTTGTTCTTTAAAGGTGTGCAATGTGTTTTTAAACTTTTTGTGCAAAGTGGAATGAATGACTGTATTTCAAATACATTCATTTTTTGGTGAGCAGAACACGGTGCTGGTTGATGAGAAGGGAAATATTTACCATCAAGTGGTTTTGCATGCTGAACCACAAAGGATTCTCACCATAGACTGTCAGCACGATGTTGCATACCATCTGGAATGTTTGGCACTTCGGGTAGGCCAAGCATTCTAATAGTTTTTTTTTAATACTTATGTAAAAACAGGCTGAATGTGGTAGTATGCTGTTTGTTCTTTTTGATGCATACCAGTTCCTCATGGCAATAATATCTGATTACATTTTCAGTATAAATGCCTAAATGTACTAAATTGTCTGTCTTAGGTTTCTTCAGTGGTCAAGTGCAAACGTGAGTAGTACTGGTTCATTCTGTTCCTTTTTTAGTGAACATTTGAGCTTAAAGTCTTTGAGCTATTTTTAGTACTACTTTCTGACTACCTTCTAATTTAATAATGTTATTTGTATTAAATAACTTTATTTTTTATTATTATTTTTAAAACATTTTCCCAGATAAGTGTCCCACTGCACCTGTTGCAACAGTCACAAAAGGTGAGAGGCTTGTGTAAAAATATATTTTTTTAACACTGTCACTCACTCACACATATATACAGTACATACATTGACTTGTTTTTTGTACTATTTTCTCTTTCTAGTAGCCTATATAGACTCAACTGTGGAGCTCCTAGTTACAAGCAGAAATCATGTTGTAGCATTTGCTGTCGGTGGCATTGCTGTACTACTTGGCTTTGTCATCATGACAGTCATCATCTTTTCCAAGTACAGACATCCAATGTATGAATCATGACTTTACATGACTAAATGTTGACATTGGATAAAGACCTCATGTTTTTTTTGTTGTTGTTGTTGTTTTTTGGACAGATAATTTATGACAATTTAGTCGATGCTGACAGTGTCTCACCACTGCCTGGTGCGTTTGGATCTTTTGATCATTCAGAAAAAAGTTTCCTAATTTCCAGCATGAGGAAACACTTACAGCCACAGGTGCAAAAAATGAATAAGGGAATGGGACATAATACTTAAATCAGCTTGTCCAGGGGAAAGGAGGCATGTGACCGTTTTGGAGCCATCTATGTTCCCACAAAAGACAATTTGTAACTTGTAGCTATGTTGTAAATGATATTCATTTTCTTATTCTACATCATTATAAATAAACTCA